CTTTATGTCTGTTAGCACTTGCTTTATGTCTTTGGGTGCTCCTATATTGGGTGCGTATATATTGACACACATAATATCCTCTTCTTGTATTGATCTTTTTATCATTATATAGTTTCCTTCTTTATGGCATTGTGTTAGCCTGTTTTGTCTGATATGAGTGTGTGACCCTGCTTTCTTGTCATTTCCCCTTGCATGAGATATCCTTTTTCCATCCCCTCACTTTCAGTCTCTGTGTCTTTCGCCCTAAAGTCAATCTCTTGTAGGCAGCATATTGTAGACTCTTGTTTTATTATCCAGTCTGCCACTGTGTGTCTCTTGATTGGTGCATTTAATCCATTGACATTTAAGGTAATTATTGATAAACACATTCTTTATTGCCATTTCAACCTTGTTTTCTGGTTGAGTCTACATTTCTTCTTTGTTCCTTCTTTTTTCCTTTTGTGGTTTGATGTTATGTTTACATTTGTTTGTGTTCTTCTTGGTGTTTATGAATCGATTATATGTTTTTCATTTGTGGTTATGCTATCTTTCAAGGCATGTTAACTCCTTCCTATATCCACTTGATTTAGATTGATAGTTGTATAGACTAAAACACATTCTTTTTAAAAAATCTACAAATTTTCTTACTCTCCTCCTCCATATTTTGTGATTTGATGTCTTCCCTTACATCTTCATGTTTATCGTTTTACTATTCATTGTGCTTATCATTGCTTTCACTAGAATTGATTTTTTCCTTTTAATCTGTGTACTGGCTTATTTAAGTGATTTATTTTTCAATTGTGAGTGCCTCTTTCTTATAGCTTCTTGCATCTTTTCTATTTAAAAAGACCTTCCAATATTTCCTTTAGGAATATTTTAATATTGCTGTATTCTTTTTAGTTTTTCCCTTCTGAGAAGTTCTTTATCTCTTCTTCCAAATGATAAACTTGCTGGGTAGAGTATGCTAGGTTGCACATCTTTCTGTTTCAAGACTGAATATATTTTGCAGTTCCCTCTTTGCCTGCAACATTTCTGTAGAGAAATCAGCTGACAGCCTTATGGGCACTTCCTGGTAATTAACTGTTTGTTTTTCTTTTGCTGCCTTTAGAACCCATTTTAATTATAATCTGTCTTGGTGTAGGCATGTTTGGGTTCATCTTGTTTGGAACCCTCTGTGCTTTGCAGGTTCAATCCCTGGGTTGGGAAGATGCCCTGGAGAAGAGAATGGCAACTCACTCCAGTATTCTTGTCTGGAGAATTCCACTGATAGAGGAGCCTGGCAGACTACAGTCAGTGGGGTCACAAAGAGTGGGACACAACTGAGCGAGTGAGCACAGACAGATGGTGCTTTCTATACCTGGATGTCTGTGTCCTTCTTTAGGTTTGGGACGTCTTCAGCCGTAATTTCTTTAAAAACATTTCTATCCCTTTTTTTCCCCTCCTTCTGGAATCCGTAATACACATATATTGGCACATAGGTCTCATTAATTTTTTAAGATTTGGCTTTCTGTCTGCTGTTATGATTGGGTAATTTCCGTTATTCTATCTTCCAGATCTCTTATTCCCTTTTCTGCATTATTCAATCTGCTATTCATAGCCTTTAGCTGTTTGCATTTCTGTAAATTTCTAGTTTTTCTTGACTCCTCCTTGTAGTTTCTAGTTCTTTTTTTACAATAATGTGCATTTCTATTGATTACATTTCTTAATCCCTTCAGTATTTTCATTACCTTTTTTTTGACCTGTGCAATAGACTGAAGAGATGTTTTATTGTTTTTTCAGGTGAGTTTTCTTGATCTCTTAACTAGGAGTGTTTCCTCTACTTCTCCATTCTCCTTACATTTCTCTCACTCCATAAGTTTAGGAGAAGCAGTTACCCACCATGGTCTTGGAAGGGTATTTATATGCAGGAGAGCGCCTGTGTAGCATGTGTGGGTTTAGTATTTTTGGCACCAGGACTGGTTTTAGTGCGAATGCCTGCCACCTCTGGTTAGCAGGGCCTTCTCTTTGCTCTGTGGTTGTCATAGCCCTGTCAGTGGCAGGATCTGCTTATACCCTCCAGTTGTTGGAACAGAAGCCCCCAGACTGGCGTCTGAGCTGCGCTGGGAGGCAGGTGGGGCTGGAGGACCCCCCCCGGGGGAGGAGCCACCGAGTATTCCCCGGCTGGAGCCGCTCACCTGCGCGTGCACTGCGAGTGTCGCCTGTCACGTGCCATGCGGGCTCGCAAGGTACCCTGTGGCTGGTGCTGTTCCGGGTCCCACTTCAGCTCCGGGTACTTTCCCTCTGTTAATGCTTATCCGTGGTTAAGCTTCAGTAGTAGTATAATACTGCGTTTAGACCAATAGAGGTGAATTTTGTATCTCAGTGTAAATTTACATATCCTTTTCACCTTATCTAAAGCATCCTTTCCCCACCATGTATTCATGTCATTGAAATCAGGATGGATTCACACAATTGGTAGGCTTTTTCTCAGTGGTACACAGATTATGGTGATGTCTTAAAATCAGTGGTGTATGATATCTGATGAACTAGGGCACTTGTGGGAAATTGATATGTGTGGGTATTTTTCCTCTACGTCACTTTATGGAACTATAGCCTGTTACACCTTTTTCTGCTACTCTGCCACTCACCCCACTGTGGCCATCTGCTGGTCTTTGGGGCCTTTTCCTGGGCACCTTATGACCTCTGGACCAGCTGCACCCAAGCCTCAGAGCTTAAGTGGCTCATTTGGGTCTCTTAATGAATGTAGCGACATTGCACAAACTTGTTGACCATCCCAACTGAAATCAGCTCTATGGCCCAGAAACATTTCCTTTTACCCAGTTTTATGGTCATCAGAGCTATGATAGTTTCACTTATTTGTCTCTTTCCTCACTAAAGCATAAGCTCCAGGAGAATCAAGCTCTGGCCTATCTTGTTCAACACAGTATTGCAGCACCTGGAACAGTAGGTGCTCAGATATGTCTGGAAGGAAGATTTCAGAAAAATGATGTTAGGCTACATATACAGTATCTAGTGATTTAGCAAGGTACTATGTTTCAAATTTATAAATAACATTACTTATTTTTCTATGAGAATCTCATCTATATAAATTATTGTGTTGGGACAATCCATTTCTGATTGCTGTTCCATTAAACATAATTTCAGAAATGTACTATTGGCATACACCTAGAATAATTTCCATAGGATGCAACAGTTCATACCGCACTTAATTAATTTGCACATGTTCCAAATCTTCCTACTCTTGACTGGAACTGATGTCAAAAGGTGACAAACTATGATGAAAAGAAAAAGACAATTTCAAAAAAATTCAACAATGTGATTACCTTCAAAAAATTTTAGGAAGAGTCTTCTCTCCCAAAGGAAAGATTTAGTTAAAATTACTGTTTATATCAAAAAACTTATTTACCTAAGCACAATTCAAAAAAATAATTGAAATAAAGTTTGTAGAACATCTAATAAGAACAATAATGGATAATTTATGGTCTATTTCTTTAATTCTTATATTTCACATGTATGACAAAAAGATAAAAAGACTGCAATTCTGAAAAACTCTGAATTTCTGCTTTTATTGAAAAAAGCCCATGATTCTTTGGGAGGTCATAACAAGGTGGTTTTCCAGTCAGATCATAATTTCTACAATTTCTGTAATAACTGTAAATTCCAAAGTTTCCCATTCTCCCCACCCCAATTCACTTTTGGCACCTATGTGAAATGTCACTTCTGAAAAATGGGGAAAAATATGCTGAGTACTAGGTTTTTATCATAGTCATCTTTTCTTGATGAAAAACTCTCTGCTGAATTTAGAATATTGACACAAAAAAGGTGAATGCTATGTCATCCATAAAAATCTTTTTTTTTAACTAGATGGTTATCTCAGAAACAAATTTATATGAGATACAGCAACCAGCTCTCAGATGTGAAGGGGCGCTGGCTTTTCTTAGCCTGCTCCACTCCTTCTGATTTTAAATTCAGCATTTACTGAGCAATTGTACGAGGTAGCCAGGTGTGGGGCACAGCTCTGGCTCCAGGAGTTCAGAACACAGTTTTAACTCACCATGTACTTCAGAACTGAGGAGACACTGAAAGAAAAGAAGAGAAAAGGTCCTCTCAGCCCTGCAGCGAGGAGACGGCAGGATGGCGTGTGCCGGTCACAGGTAGAGGAGAGGGGCAGGCCCTCACGACTGGCAACGAGGAGAGGATGTGGCCAAGGGATTTTTAAAAAATTCTTATTAGAAGAGTATCATTTATAAAGTATACTGATCTTGTATCTTAATTTATTATAAAGTACACTGATCTTGAATCTTCCTTCATTAGAAAGAAGCTCCTTCACAAAAATCAGGACGCCGCAGAAGAGGAACCAGCAGACTGTGCCTGGCTGACACTTAACTCTGAAGAATGCGACTTTCGTGCTGAGAAGGATTTCTGAGCTTGGCATTGACCTGCTTGGCCCAACTCAAAAATTTTTTTTTTTTTTTCAGCTCTGCTTCCAGTTCACAGGGTATGGCCAAAAGGCTTCTCCAAAAAGTCTTTGAATTTTCCAGCATCATTAGAACCTAACGGGTGTTTCTGAGAACTACTGTGGAGCTGACAAGAGTAGGGGAGTCTCACCCCACTCCTTGCCTCTCAAGAGCTAATGAGACATTTTATTTCAAAGAGATACTAATGCTATCAAACTGGGGGAAAAGAGAAGAAACAAGGGCAGTCTCTTTAACTGCACTTGGCTAACACCTGCACCACATTCATGGTTAACTTTAGGGAGGAGGAGATCAATCTCTGGAACCTCCTGACAAAGGAGCCGTCCCACAGCAGGGTCAAGGCCTTATTCCTTCTGCCGGCCAGTGAGTCACAGGTATTTTTCCCCATTTACAGAAGCGTGTGTGAAGATACTCTCCCCATTTACAGAAGCGTGTGTGAAGAGGCTGGGGAGCGCAGGAACAGGCCGAGAGGTCGACGGAAGTCTTGTCTCAAGGAGCCCGCCCTCGGTCCTTAGTGGCGACCCACTTGGTCCAGCACCTGGGCCTTCACAGTAAGCAACATCTTTCTTTAAAACTTTTCTTGTTCTTGCTGCTTTTCTTGCCATTCTTGTCTTTGTTTTCTGACATCTTCTTTGTCCTGATCTCTCTCATGAGGTCAAAGAACACCTGGGGTGGGGAGGAAAAAGCCATTTCATGATGTAATGAGGCAGTATGACCAAGCAGGATATGTGGTTACATTGTAAAGCATCAAGCCAAATGTATTCTTAGAAACCACGCACCATCAAAAACAAAAGGTTTAAAGCAAAGGAGAACAATTAACATTAAAAGCATTTTCTGGTTCTACAAAGGAGATATCTCTGCTCACATCACACGACGGGTCAAGCTAAGGACAGAAGCATCACGCTGTTCTTGCATCCAGTGGCTTATTGCAGAATGATAAAAGCTGTTCTCGGGATAAGTATGATGAGGGATAAAACATCACCGGACACAGCCACAGCAGTTTGTGAAACTTACAGACACTGGGAGTGACAACAGTCATCAAACTTCCCGCCACCTCCCAAGCACCAGGAGACGGAAGGAAGGTGCTAGTACCCACTCCTGAAACAATGAACCCTAAAGGCAGGAACCTCATCACGAGCCCCGAGCAGCAGACTTGCACTCACAGGGGTCGGGGAGAAGCAGAAAGAGCAGCCTGTCTCCTCCTCCTCACACCTGCGCCCCCACTCCCCGATGTCAGCTGAAGGAGCTTCATCAGAAGCTGATGAGACTGTTGTGAATGCCAGTGTGTTACTTAGATATGGATTGTCACTCATCACAAGGTTTTTGCCCTCTGCTCCCAGCAGCCATGCCCAGGTACTGACTATACAACCTCCTACAAAGAAAGGTTCACGATTTCTCATGGAGAAGATGGCAAGTGTGAGACTGAGCGTAGGCATTCACCTTGGGACACTTGCACAGAACAGGCTCCTATTACTTTCTGAGGGAAAGTGAGATCAAGCTTTCTGAGTGAGGGCTCCACAAGCACTGACCACCAGCTCGGGGTGCAGTGAAGGATTCCCCCAAACTGGATCAGGCTAACCTAAGTATCCCTTCCTTCCCTTCAGTCTCTCAGGAAAGCACACCCCCTGCTCTGCCCAATAGTGGCTGAAGTGTCAGTTGCTCAGGCTTGTCTGACTCTGTAACCCCATGGACTACAGCCTGCCAGGCTCCTCTGTCCATGGGAATCTTCCCAACTCAGGGGTCAAACCCAGGTATCCTGCACTGCAGGTGGATTCTTTACCAGCGAGGCCCAACAGTGACTGAGAACAGCTTCAAATATCATTGGTTTTTCTAACAGCAAAAGGCAGAAGCGGGAAGGGTGCATGTCCAACATCAAATGGTGACCAAGCTGTTCACTGGCCAGTCTTATCAACAATCCCCTTTCCTGTGAACTGCTGACAAGTGCGTACAATGCTGCCTGTCGGTCATCAGTTTCTGCCAGTTCCCATTTGGCAGGTCCAGCAGGTCGGGGCAGGAAGGGGGGATGACAAGCCGCTCTATGACAGCCCCTGCTCCCCACGTCCACAGTTCCATGCCCGGCAAGTCATCCTGATATTTTAAAAATGAAGTATGTGACTGGATTTCCTGTGTGTGGTAATTCTATGGCTAGAAAACTATTTGATAAAAATGGAAAGATTTGGAAATACACAAGAAGCAACCTAAGAGCTAACAGAGAAAAAGGAGCTGCCGAAGGAACCTGCTTCACACTCCAGACACAACAAAACAGATTTGTGTTGTTGGAGAGGCTTCCGGAGTGAACCCCTCGTGACACCAACATCCTAAACCTTCCAGCATCACTGGATACAGTAGCACTTGGTATCAGATTTCTTGCTCTTCGGGAGCAAGTGAGAAGTGAGAAAGGAGCAAAGGAGAAGTGAGAAAGAAGTGGGGGGATTCACGCTGTGCAGATGGAGCAGACGTGTCCACTACTTGGCTATAAAGTGCTATGTGCGGGTTTTACGGGAGCCAGGTCGTGACATCAGAACTAAGGAACACGGTGATGGCAGAGAGAAAGTTTCAGCTTTAGAAGCTCTGTGGTAACCACTGTGAACTTTTTTTTTTTTTTAAAACATTATTGACAAACAGATCTTTGTAGACACTAACCCCTGTTGCTGTAACATGTCTGTAGTCAATAATGTGTTAAAGGGCTTCCCTTGTGGCTCAGTGGTAAAGAATCTACCACCCAGTGCAGGAGACATGGCTTCGATCCCGGACCCGGGAAGATCCCATATGCCAAAGAGCAACTGAGTCTGTGTGCACCACAGCTATTGAGCCTGTGCCCTATAGCCTGGGAACCACAAGTACTGAGCCCACACACCCTAGAGCCCATGCACTGCAATGAAGAGCAGCCCCCACTCCTCGCATCTAGAGAAAGCCCACACAGCACTGAAGACCCAGCATGGCCAAAAAAAATACAATTAATGTATTTAAAAGGCCTTGCATTGCTGGAAGGTGGGTTTTCAACTGTTGGTATTTGTCACTGTCAAGGTCATCCTTTCCTTAGCTACAGGCATTTGAATAGGAAAGTACTCTGGGGCTGAGGAAGAGAGAAGAGCTCCCTAGAGAGCCAATTCCCGGGAGAAACTACGATGTAGGGACTAAGTTATAAAGACAGGACTCCTGGGCTCTGCAGAGGGACAGGAAGGTGAAAAGAACAAATCTGCCCAATTCATGAAAGTGAAAAGTGAAAGTCACTCAATCACGTCCGACTCTTTGCAACCGCATGGACTATACAGTCCATGGAATTCTCCAGGCCAGAATACTGGAGTGGGTAGCCTTTCCCTCCTCCAAGGGATCTTCCCAACCCAGGGATCGAACCCAGGGATCCTGCATTGCAGGCGGATTCTTTATCTATCAGCTGAGTCACAAGGGAAGCCCAAGAATACTGGAGTGGGTAGCCTATCCCTTCTCCAGCAGATCTTCCCAGCCCAGGAATTGAACTGGGGTCTCCTGTATTGCAGGTGGATTCTTTACCAGCTGAGCTCGCAGGGAAGCCCACCCTATCCGGCAATGAGAGCAAAACCAAGAGGCCAGCTGACACAGCCGGCCCTGCCCCAGAGGATACAGGCCACAGAGTCTGCAAGGACAGGGCCGCCACAGTCACGGCCTCGCCCGCTGGGCTTCCATCTGGCCACGGGCGCGCACCTGAGAAAGGCTCGGGTGTGGAGTCTGGAGTCGGACCATCCCTGTGCTGCTCGTCGTGATGCGAGGATCCGTTCCCCACCCCGCCACCCCGGCCTCCCCAGGACAGCTCCCCCAGGAGCAGCAGGCGGAGGCCGACCCACCTTGTCCACGTTGGCCCGTGTCTTGGCCGAGGTCTCCACGTACTGCACGCCCCACTCCTCAGCCTTGGCCCTGGCCTCCTCCACTAGCACCTGCCTCCGCTCCTCCAGGTCAGACTTGTTCCCCACGACCAGCAGTGGGATTTTATCTTCTTCAGCTTTAACGCGGAGGATCTGTTCCCTGTGGTGGTGGATCAAGAAGAAAGCAGCTAAGAAGGCTGGATTAGGAGCCCAGTTCTGCCAACCCGTGCGAGACGGCGGGCATGGCTGAGGGAGCTGCCGCTTACAGCCCACCCTGAGGAAGCACCCCTCCACCCTGCGGTTAACCGGCGTTCCTCAAGCCTGGTTTCAGTTCGCTGCACTAGTTACTCGGGGCGCTCATGACAAATGCAGGTTCCTGGGCCCGTAAGCACATGTCTGGGTAGGAGCCCAGGATTCTGCACCTCAACAGCCTCCCCAATGTATGCTTCTGCAAAAATGAAACAGAAAAGGGAAACTTGGGACCCTCTGGGATAGAAATAAAAGAAATGTTTTCATATACAAAATGCTAATAATCACATTGGGAGAAAAAAAGTAAGTTCTTTGTAAGAATATAGAAAGTTCAAGTGGTAAGCTGTAAAGAGTCATGTCTGACTCTCTGTGATCCCATGGACTGTTGCTCTCCAGGCTCCTCTGTCCATGGGATTCTCCAGGCAAGAATACGGCAGTGGGTAGCCATTTCCTTTTCCAGGGGATCTTCCCAACCCAGGGATCGAACCTGGGTCTCCTGCATTGCAGGCGGATTCTTTCCTGTCTGAGCCACAGGAATATAGAAGGGAACAATCTATTAGCAGACCATGAAATCAGTGTAGCAAGTTACAACTGGTCATTCTTTTTACCTCAGTGAAATAGAATATTACAGAAAAGCAAAGAAACAGCAGAGAGATGCTCGAGTACTAACAGTAAGCATGGATGTAAAACTCTTGCTTCAACTCGAATCTGCATGTGTGGGCCGCCTGCCCTTCCCCCTAGTTCTGTGAGGCAGGAACCCCACTTCAATGTGCATGATTTTTCTACTTACAGAGTGGTGGGAGAAAATGAAATACTCCAAGGCCTACGGAAAAGTACTTCAAAAACATCTTCTCTAAAGTAACTGTTACCTGTAGCACATCACACTTGACTTCTACTAAAAATAATCAGCTTTCTAAAGTTATTTTTTGAAAAATGACATAGTTTAAAAAAGTAAATATTCCACTTCCATTATTTTGATCCAGAAGGAACATGTCTAGTTCTATGAGACCCCTTCAAAAACATTTTGTGAAGATCTGTATTGATTTTTATATAATATAGGGTGACATTTCATAATAATAAAAATACTTAAAATTTTTTTCATACTGTCACTTTAAGTACCAGATATCAAATTTTTTTGTTGACGCACAGTTGATTTACAATGTTGTCTTACTTTCAGTTGTATGACCAAGTCATTCAGCTGGACACATAATTCCTTTTCGTATTCTTTTCCCTTACAGGTTATTACAAAATGTTAAATATAGTTCCCTGTGCTATACAATAGGGCCTTGTTGTTTAATTTATATACAGTAATGTGGATTCCAAACTCCTAATATATATATCCTTCCCTTTAAGAAAAATTAAAAAGAAAAAAAAAACAAGTAGATGCTTGAAAATTGCCTCTAAGTAGTTTTGCCACATCCTGCATTTCACAGGCGTCAAAGCGCATGCTGTGTTTAGAAGTTATGTGGTCAGTATAGGTGATGAACAATAAAACTGCCTGCTTTTTGGCTCATTAGGCTTACAGAGGCGTGACTAATTACCTCATTGATAAACATATGGATTGAAAAACAGAAGCACCGAGTTTAAACGACTTCTCTAGTTTATGGATTATGTCCAGGCAAAGTTTCAAGGAAAAGATGGTATATTAATGTTTTATTTATGTTGGGGCCTTTCCATTTGGAAGATAAATGCAGAAGTGCTGTTTTTAAACTAACAGACGTGAAGCGCCTGAGTTTAACCATAAGGGCTCAGATAGCCCACATGCATTCTGTGTACCGTGGGAACCTGGAAAGCTCTAGGGCTTTTCTTTAACTGCCCAGAGTTCAAGCCGCAAGCACTAACTTCCCCTTCCTTTTCTTTAAGGTTAGGACTTCTCCTTTCTCTTCTTTCCAAACAAAGCCTTTCTCCCAGGAGGAGGCGCCCGTGGTGGCCGAGGGACAGGACATGGAGGCCCTGTTACTCTCGGAGGCGATGTCCACCGTCAGCACATTCTCTCTTGGAGAGTCTTGGGGCCAACGGGACAGCAAAGACTCAAGACAGGGCAAAAGACAAGGTGGTGTGTGCGCTATCCCGTTCTGCCTCAAAAAGATATCTCAACAGGACTGTGCGGATGCAGGCCTAGTTGTGAACATGGGGGCTATTTACGGAAACCTCTGGCTATGTCAGAAAGAGCTCCAAATTAACAGGATTTCTCCCAGGGAATCCTAGCCATTTAACTGCTCATAACACACACACCCTAGTTGCCAAGAACTGTTGATATTCACTCTTGGGAGACTTGAGACCGTGAAGATGACAAGTGAGACTCTACCTGCCTCCATTCCCCTTGCTCCGCCAGGGTCCCCAAGGCCTCCCTCCCCGCTCACTGATGCTCCTTCCACACCTTGAGGGGATTTTTAGCTTCCTCAGTTTCATCTTTGGCTGATGGCCTACATTTCTGACCAGAACTTGCTAAAGAGTGAAAAAAAAAAAAAAAAGAATCACTATTTTCTTTTTCCCCTCTAGATTTGGTTCTTAGAATAAACAGTCACCTGAGAAGCCCCTGGCCACCCAGTGGTTAGGCCTTGGCAGTCTCATTGCCAAGGGATTGCGTGTTCAGTCCCTGGCCAGGGAACTCAGATATCCTGCAAGCCACGCCTGGCAACCAAAAAAATGAAAAGTCACCTAGATAGGTCTGCTTCCAAGGAGGGGGATGAAGAACCACAGGTGTGTAAAAGATGGCAAGGGGATGAGGCAGAGATCTTCCCTGCTAGAATCCCTGGAGCACTGAGCCCGTACACTCACTATTTCTCTATAACAATGAATTTCATGATTTTAGATAAGTGATGGCAGTGAACACTCACCACGTGCCACCACACAATGATGGTTCTACTTGGGAAATTTAGCCTAACACAGCACTTCACTTCATCAGTGAGAGATTTTCAGGACAAGAAACAGACGCCAAGTACACTGGCCCTGGGTCACAAGGCTGACAGGGCAGGGACCCAGACCTGGCTCTGTGTGACGTAAAGCCGGTGCTTCCCACCCCACGGGTCCCGTGTCCCCAGGGGAGTGGCACACAGTCACTCTGACCCTGGCGTCCATCTCCTGACATCGGAGGTCTCAGAAACCCAGAGCTGAACTGTTCACTTTCTAGCAAAATTACGCAAAGAGGTAAAGATCGTTAACTCTTACCAACCCCTGCCTCTCAGGATTTACATGAAAACAAAAAAAACAGGTTCCTGACTGTATGGAATGGCTTTGTCCTCTTTAGGGACAACAGATCCCTCAAAAAGATCATTTATATTTGGAAATTATAAACCAAGGAAGCCCAAAGAGAGTATAACAAACGATGAGCTATAATGTGCCAAGATCCATGAAGCCCCAGAAAGCTCTTTAGACAGATTTCCTCCTGATAAGAAGGCTCAACTCTGAAGGTGTATGCTTAACCCCAAATTCCTTCCAAGGTGAGACCCGACGGGAGGCACAGGGCCTGCTGGAGGCTGTCTCTTGTCAGACACACCTGAATTCGGCAGTCGCTGTGAACGACTCGGGCTCGGTGATGGAGAACACAAGCAGGAAGCCCTCCCCGCTCCGGAAGTAGTTGTCTCGGATGGCTGCGTAGTCCTCCTGCCCCGCCGTGTCCAGGATGTCTATCTGCACTTCTTCCCCATCGAGGACCACTTTCTTCCTGTAACTGTCGGCCTTGGTAGGTTCGTAGTCCTCCACGAACTGAGCAAACAGACAACACGATCAGCAGTTAACAAAGTTCTAAGAAGAAAAGCTGCCAAAAAAATAAATTTCAATATATGGGCACTTTGCTTATTATCAACTTAGTACTGAGTGTGGGTAATTATCACACCATGTGTAAGGCACTATAAAGTAAAGATAATCCCTTACGGAGTATTTCTGTTCTTTGCTCCTTTCAATTCATTTTAAAATTTTGCTTAAAAACAGTAACAGCAGATATTCCCATTTTACAAATGAGGACACCAAGCAGAGAGCAGAATGCTTGGCAATATTCTTGTCAGTATACAATTATAATTAAACACTGGTGAGGGTAAGAAATGGGAGCTCTTATTTATAATCAACAGAATTATAAACCTCATCTGAAAAGTAATTGGTCAAGAGGAACCAAGAGGCTTAAATAACTGAACAACAAGATAAACTCCAAATGGGTCAAGATTAAATGTTAACAACAAAACACTCAAGAACTAGAAGAAAACATGGGTGAAATCCCTTTATTACCTTGAAGTGGGGAAGGCCTTTTTAACTATGACTCAAAATCCAGAAGCCATGTAAGAAAAAATTGATAAATTAGACTACATAAAAAATTGTAAAACTTCTGTATGGCACAACACACTATAAACAAAGACAAATGACAAACAGGGGGAAAGTATTTAAAGCCACGTCACAAAGAGCTACATATTAACTAGAAATAGGGAGAGACAAAAGACCGAGCTGATGGGAAAAAGTGGCGACAGACAAATACACAAAAATAAATATATATGATGCTAAACACAGGAAAAGATGTTCATACCTGCTAATAAAATAAAAATGGTAACTACATAGAGATACCATTTTTCACCTACCAGACTGGCAAAAAATCCCCAAGTCTGACAACATACTCTGGGGAAAAGGCCTTCTTGCACACTGCTAGTGGGAGGAGACAACAACATGGTCTGTATGGAGACAAATATGGCAACACCTAATCAAGCTAGAGAAGGTCCGTCCTCCTAGAAATCTAATTTACAGACACACCTGCACAGGAACACACAAGGTTATTCACCGTGGTACCATACGTAACAACAAAAGGTTAAGAACCACCCCACTGCCCAGGCCAGGGGTCTACATAATGGAATACTATGCGGCTATCTAAAAAGAGAGAAGAAACACCCTGGGAGGACAAAGCAAATAAAAGCTGTTAAACAGGAAAACTGAAACAAAGGAATGTAAATGAATATTAAATTGGTAATGTAACCCAGCAGAGAAAGAAATTAATTCAAGAGACTTTCAAACAGAATATCTGGATAGAATACATCCCACTCAAAGACACTAAAAACAAAAAAAATTTCAAAGAAATGTTAAACTTCCCTCAGTGGTTATATTATTTAGTAATAATGATACAGAGTTATTTTCTTTATACTGCATCATTCATGAAATAAGTATTTTAATGTTATAAGCCCGGCTATTCGGGATAATTTTAATGACAGCTATTTAATGCACTATTAAAACTGACTTCATGCTGGCATAACTGGATATCCACATGTGAAAAAATGAACTTGGACTCTTACTTCATGTCACATACAAAAATTAACTCAATATGGAGCAGAGACTTAAATGCAAGAGCTGAAACTATAAACTCTCAGAAGAAAACATAAGGTGAAAATCTTCATAACCTTGAATTTAGCAATGCCTTCTTAGATAGGACACCAAAAGCACAAGCAGCAAAAGGGAAAATAGATAAACTGGACTTTATCAAAATTTTTAAATTTTGTGCTTTGAAAGACACCAACAAAGTCAAAATACAACCCACAGAATGGCAGAAAATATCTGTAAAAGACTGTATCTAATAAGGAACTAGTATCCAGAATATATAAATAACTCTCAAAACTCAATAAGAAAACAATTTTGAAGTTAAATACCGATTTTAAAATGGGCAAAGGAAGAAAAAACCAAATGAAATGAAAAAAAAAAAAGACAAAGGATCTGAACAGACATTATCCAAAAAAGATATACAAATGGCCAAAAAGCACATGAAAAGATGCTCAACCTGACTAGTCATTAGGAAAATGCAAATTAAAACCATGAGCTACTACTTCGTACCCACTAAGATGCTATAAATAAAAGATGGACAATAACAAGCATTGCTGAGAACATGGAGAAACTATAACCCTCATAAACTGTAAAATGGTGTGGCTGCTATAGAGGGCAGTTTTGCAGTTCCCAAAAAGTTAAACAGAGTTACCATACAATCCAGCAAATTTCATACCGAGGTACACCCCCAAGAGAATGTGAGGGGTCTACACAAAAACCTGTAGGTGATATTCACAGCAGCATTACCCATAACAGCCGAAGGCAGAAATAACCAAATACAAATGACAAATGAATATGCAAAATATGGCATATCCAGACAATGGAATGTTATTCAGTCATAAAAAGTAAGGAAATGCTGATTCATGCTACAACCTGGATGAACCCTGACAAATTTTGGTAGGTAAAAGAAGTCAGACACAAAAGATCATATATGAGTCGATTTACATGAAACGTGTAGAACAGACAAGCCTCTGGAGACAGAAAGCAGATTCATGGGGGGGGCCGGGGCTGGGCGAGGGGGTGGAGAGTGACTGCCACTCAGTATGACGTTTCTTTTGGGGGGAATGGGAACTTTCTGGAATTACAAAAGTGATGGTTGCACAGTTTTGTAAACATATTAAAAAGCACTGAACTGTACACATAAAAGGGTCAGTTTTTTGGTGTGTGAATTATACTGCAATTTTTTTTAAAGAAATGAAGCAGTGACACAGCTGTGATGAACTTTGGAAACATGACGCCCAGTCACATACTAATTCCATGTATGTAGAAGGCCCTCAACAGCACAGCCACAGAAACAGAAAGCGGCCGCCAGGCTTGGGGTGGGGGCGATGAGGAGGGATGCTGCTGCTGTGCGGGGGCGCTTTTCGAGGTGAAAAATATGTTCCACAATTACATCACGGTGACGGCTGCACACCCGTGTGAGTACCCCAGAAATCACTCAGTGGTCCAGTTTAAAGGGTGAGTTTCATGGTACATGAATTCTTCATAGAGCTATAACTTTTTAAAAATTCAAAAGTCGAATTGAGGGACTTCCCTGGTGGTCCAGCAGTTAAGAACCCTCCTGCCAACGCAGAGGACACGGGTTCGATCCCCAGTCCAGGAAGACCCTACATGCCGCAGAGCAACTCGGCCTGTGTGTGCCACAACTACCGAGCCCCAGCTCTAGAGCCCACGTGCCACAGCTTAGGCCTGAAGCAGCTGAATTAATTAAAAGATGAAACTGAAAATATCAATACGAACTTATGGACCCCTTTGCAGAACACTGAAAAAGAGCCTTGTGTTATCAGTCAGCAACTGTTAATTCAAATGATTTTCATTCTAAAAGTAAGATACTAAAAGTTTCAGTATTAATTTCTCTTACACTCATATAACAATCTTATAATCGAGAAAATATGAAAATTTGCCCATGGTTGATAGCAGTATCCTCCTGTTAACGTCCTTCCAAAGAGACAAATACGTGACTCCCCCAAAAACCACGCCAACACCCAGCGTGAACTCAACACCGCTGTAAAGGCCCTCTGCCGCTTGCTTCTGAACCCCCGCGGGTACACGCAGCAGCAGCCCCCTGAGTCCCGTGCCGCTGGAGTCCGAACGCCCCCACGGGGCTGCGCGGAGGCGCCCCGGCGCCGGGGACAGCGCGCACTACGCGAACGCGAGCGCAGAGCCTTGGCGCGGGCACCCCCGTTAGCAGCAGCCACGCGGTTGGTTTCGCCGGGCTGCTGGCCTTCCGTCTCAGACGCCGAGACTCCGAGCCCACGGCCGGCCTCGCGGACGCTTCGTCCTGAGCTGCCGCTCAGCCGACTGCCAGCCAGCCCACGGCCGGCCTCGCGGGCCCTTCGTCCTGAGCTGCCGCTCAGCCGACTGCCAGCCAGCCCACGGCCGGCCTCGCGGGCCCTTTGTCCTGAGCTGCCGCTCAGCCGACTGCCAGCCAGCCCACGGCCGGCCTCGCGGGCCCTTCGTCCTCAGCTGCCGCTCAGCCGACTGCCAGCCAGCCCACGGCCGGCCTCGCGGGCCCTTCGTCCTCAGCTGCCGCTCAGCCGACTGCCAGCCACAGCCGAAGTCTCAGAGCAGCGGCCGCCGAAGCCGCCCCCTGCCAACCTCACTCAATCAGCCAAGCAGGTAGCTAAAGTCTCCACGCGCATTAGGCCGAGGATCCAGAAGGCGGCTCAGCCGCAAGGAAGCCGGCGTCCGGGGCCCTCGGTCCCCCGGTAAAGGAGCCTCCACGCGCCGAGCTGTCCCTGGCCAGGCCTCCTGACCGCAGCGTGACTGACTGTTCAGGCTGGGTGGCTCCCCGGGGGGGTCTCCCGTGCGTGCCTGGCAGCGGTCCCGCCCTCCACCCAGCGGGTGCCAGCAGCTCCTGACACCGCCCGCCATTCGGGCTGGCAGGGGGGCACAGAATGCCCCTCCTTCATCTCCGTTAAGAGCTGCTCCTCTATTAACCCCTTCTCCTTAACGAGTCTCGGCCCCTCTCCTCACCATCTCTTCTTCCCCAGCCTCTGTTACACGAGAAAAATAAGGCGTCTTCAGGAAGCAAATTACATGTTTGACCAAAAACAAAGACTTCCATAGCGGATCCTGAGATTTGCCTCTCTCATGCAAAAAAGTTGTGGGTAAATTAAAGAGATTCTGCTAGATTTCCCCACTTTGGCCTCTAGTATATAATAAATAAAAGCAAGTGTCAGAAACAAAAGTATACAAATGCTGGAGAGGGTGTGGAGAAAAGAGAGCCCTCCTACAGTGCTGGTGGGGGGAATGTAAACTGGTGCAACCACTATGGGGAACACTATGGAGGTTTTTCTGGAAACTAAAAATAGAACTACCATATGATCAGGCAGTCCCACTCCCGGGCATGTATCCAGACATGATGATGCTTCAAAACGACATATGCACCTCTTTGTTCACAGCAGCACTATTTACAATAGCCAAGACATGGACGCAACCTAAATGTGCATGAACGGGTAAAGATGTGCTACACATGTAGAGTGGATTGTTACTCAGCCACAGAAAAGGATGGGATCATGCCATTTGCAGCAACATGGACGGACTTAGAATGTATCACACTAAGTGAAGTCAGAAAGAGAAAGATGGAGACCATATGATGTCGCTCTCACATGGAAGCTAAAATGTGACACAAATGAACTCATCTATGAGACAGGCACAGACTCACAGACGTAGAACAGACCTTGCTTTTCATGGGGGAGGCAGGCTCGGGGAGGGACAGACTGGGAGCTGGGGATTAGCAGATGAAACTGTCATATACAGGATGGATAAAGAACAAGGCCCTACTGAATAGCAGTGCAGGGAACTATATTCATGTCCTGTGATGAACCATGATGGAAGATAGTATGGAAAAGAATGTGTGTGTAACTGAGCCACTCAGATGCACAGCGGAAACCAACACAGCATTATAGATCAACTATACTCCAATTAAAAAAAAGAAATTGGTCATGCAGAAACATACAAACAAAAAGTTTCTCATGATAAGGTACAGGGGAGTATGACTCGGGAGGTGATGCAGGTTTTGGTCTGAAGCTTATTCACTGACAGGTACTCTTTAAAGAAACAAATACAAGATCACATATAATATTAAATACAAAAATGACTATCTCGACGGAGAAAAGAAATCACAATTCATTATACATTTTATTAAATGTAGAAATACTCTGGTGAACCCACCCTCGGGAGTCCCGTGTGTGACATTCTCCCCTTGACTGCAGGGGACCCCGAGGCTGGCTTCGAACCTATGGAGTATGGCAGCTGTGATGAAATGGCCTCATGGCTACATTTCTGTGCAGCAGGATCTGTCTAAACTACCAGAGATTTGCCTGCTGGCTGGGCAAGAGCTGTCTGTAGAACAGACCACACAACAGAGAACTAGGGGCAACCCCCAGGAGCCAAGGGTGCCATCCTGCATCCGCCAGCAGCCAGCGAGCTGGCAGGAAGCTGGATACCCTCCCTGCAGCCTGAGACTCGAGGCAGCGCCCCCAGCTCAGCCAGGCTACAGCCCTGAGCCCTGGAAACTGGAAGTGACGGCTGTGTGTAGTTTGCAGCTGCCGATCGTATGGTAATTTATTATACAGCACCACTACAAATACCACTGACGCCCCAAATCCAGCACAATAACAGTCTTGTTAACCAACTGCCTGGCACACCTCTAGAATACGGTCCTATGTTGTACACACTTGCTGTATACGCTTGAACTGTCTTGTCATATGCCAGTGATCCTGAAATATTTCCTATAGAGCATTAAAAACTCATGTAGTCTTCCTTCTAGCATAGTTGATCTAAATTTCTCTTTGATGATGGTTTACAACTTCACAACCACGTGGCATTGCTAGTAATGAAGGTTTGAGGACGCTTGGCAAATTTCGGCAACCTCTATCCATCTTCCCTGTAAGAGGCTGCACGATCTGGAAGCATCTTGCAGACCAGTTTCTGACTCCATGTTTCAAGCCCGCCCCTCCTCCTTCCCACACACTTTCCGTGCCTGGTGCCTTGGACACACTCGTGCCGGGAGCCCTGGCCCCGCACCGCCCATCACGATGCCAGGTTGAGTGAGGTGGGCAGTAGGAATCACCCTGGCGGGCAGCAGACACTTGGACAGCTGGTGATAACCCAACCACGTGCCCAGTGGTTCCAAACCACACAAATGTGCATCACTGGTCCTCTGCTAGATGTATCCTTAACCTCACTTCCCTCAGCCATATCCCAAAATGTCACGGCCATACAGCCCCACGCTACATAGGAGGTGGCTGGATGGGGCCGTCCAAGTCTAGTGAAAAGAGAGGATGATCTTAACTGACTGTGGTGACAGTATCTTGTCTCACAAATTCTGGAAAGCATGTGTCATGCGAACACATGGCCGGCAAGAGGCCCCGCGGCTCAAACTCTGGTCTGGGGGCTCTGCTGCGGGACTGGCAATTGGCCACCAAGCAGAGACACTTGCTGCCGCAGGAACCAAGCCTGTGTCGTCACACTGGACTTGCACCAGAGCCATTGCACTCAGTAAGCGATGGAAACGTGGAACTTTACCCTGACAGCTAGAACGCACGTGACGTCTGTCACTTGAGAAAAGATGAATTTTCACTGTCAGTATGGCCCCTGGACTGACGGTCACAAAGCTAAGCGCCTGGCTCACTCTTCAGACACACCCGTGCAAAGGCACCCCCATGCTCCTGTCATAATTCAATCCTGGGGATGATGGGAGCAGGGACCCCAAATACCCCGTGCCAGAGCTGCAATGATCACCTACGTCAGCAGTGCGGAGCTGACCCTGGGTAGAACCTGCTGCAAAGCCATTCAGACGCCACTGTAACATAATTTACCCGACTCTAGCATGCGCGGGGGAGCAGGCACCCGAGGGACAGGGCACCAGCAGGCCCGACGGGGAGGCGGCGTGCGCTGCGTGTCTTACCTCGTCGTACATGAACTGCAGAGTCAGGGCTGACTTGCCAACCCCTCCGCTGCCAACCATGATCACCTTGTGGAGGGCCAGGGAGCTCTGGCTCTTACTCTTGTTCGCCGCCATCCTGCTGGTTCTCTGCGAGACGCAGCTGGAGGACCCAGGGGAAGAGCTGCCAAGGAGAGAAACAGACTCAGAGGCGGTTTGGTTTCCACCCGAAGGAAATCAAATGAAAACGCCATGCTCCGTAAAAGCCTAACCCAGATGCTCCAACAGAGAAGCCACTCATCCAGGCTCCAGGCAGAGAGAAAGCCCCAACCACTCCGGAGTCATGGACCAGGAGCAGAGTGAAGGCGAGACACAGACAAGAAGCGTGTGTGCACATCTGACGCCCCATCACCAGAGAGGCAGGGAGGACGGCCACCATCAGACCCGTGGAGGGACCAGACGGTGACCCCGCATCATCTGTGCCCTGGGAACTGCTCAGGGGCCCAGCCTTGTCCTCTGTATCCTCCCGCCCCTGCCGCCACCCCCCACCACCAGCACACACATGTACACAGCCCGCCCCAGGGACCAGGAGGGGCTCTGAAAAGGGTGAGGAAACCTGCTTTAATAATCAACATCCCTTCACGATACAGGACAGTTAAAGGAGGAAAACTCGGTTTTTTACTCCACACTGATTTACACTGATGAACTAAAGTGAGTTAAACTTTTCTAAAACAACTGTCTATTAACTAAAAATCAGTTTAGCCTCATCAGAAGTGAGATGAAGTATGTAGAACAGAGCAACCTTGGTGGTGTGGGAAGAGAAAGTATTCTGAACAAGTACATTTAACACATACCTGAAACTTGGGATCTAGTTAAAAGCTTCTGCACAGCAAAGGAAAATCATAAACAAAACAAAAAAACAACCTACAGAATAGGAGAAAATATTTGCAAATGATGCAATCAACAAAGAATTAATTTCCAAAATATAGAAACAGCTCACACAACTCAAAATCAAAAAACAACCCAGCTGGACTTCCCTGGTGGTACAATGGCTCAGAATCTGCCTACCAAGGCAGGGGACACAGGTTCCATCCCTGGTCTGGGAAGATCCCACACGTCATGGGACCACTGAGCCCATGTGCCACAACCAGAGACCCAAGGGCCGAGAGCCCGCGCTCCACAGCCAGCGAAGACGCCACAAAGAGAAGCCTGCGCACGACAACTGGAGAACAGACCGTGCTCGCCACAACTAGCCCGAGAGAAAGCCTGCACCCAGCAACAAAGACCCAGCGCAGCCAGAAATAAATAAATCTTAAGGAAAAAAAACCCAACCAAAAAATGGGCAGAAGACCTAAACAGACATTTCTTCAAAGAAGACATACAGACAGCCAATAGACAAAGGAAAAAATGCTCAATATCACTAATTATTAAAGAAATGCAAATCAAAACGACAATGAGATACCACCTCACACTGGTCAGAATGGCCATCATCAGAAAATCTACAAACAATAAAAGCTGGAGAGTGTGGTGAAAAGATATAGCCACTATGGAAAACAATATGAAGGCTCCATTAAAAACTAAAAACAGTTGCCATATGATCTACATAAACCAAGTGCCAATTTTTATTTTGAAAGATCTGTATGGAAAAATCTCTTTCACATCTGCCAAGGCATAAGGAAAAAGGGTGTGGGCTTGGGCATGTCATGGGCCCAAGTCTGGTTCTGTCATTTGTGAGATGTGGACCCAGATGCTTGTTACTCACTTTCTCCAAGCCAGTTTTCTTATGTGCAAACACAAGTAAACCATCACCCACCCTACAGGATTTTTCTGAGTATTAAATGAGATAACACATGTGAAAGACCAAAGCACTGAGCCTAGCATGTAAGAGGAACTTAAGAGCTGGCTTCCTTCCTATCTCATAGTAAGAGAGTTCTTTTTTCTAATTAGACATGATGGAAACCTGCTTCTGACAAAGTAATTTGAAAATACCCCCAGTAGAAAAATAAAATATGTCTAAACACACATATCATTGGGTAACATAAAACATCATGTTAAATCGGTGGTTCCCACCGTTGGTGGCAAAAGGGAATCTCTGGGGAGCTTTACAAACATCCCCAGAGATTCTGATTTTGGTCTGGGCTACCTGGGAACATCTAAACGCTTCCCAGGCAATGACAGTAGATGCCAAGGTTGAGAACTTCTATTAAATGCACAGGGGAGCTCAGGAGAAAGTAAGAAATCCCCAAGCTGGGGAGAAAAAAATCGGAGCAGTAAGAGCTGCTATTTCCACAGTTCTGGATGGCTGCTGCTCTTGTCTGTAGTCACAGCTATGGTTTTTCCAGTAGTCATGTATGGATGTGAGAGTTTCGACCATAAAAGCTGAGCCCTGAAGAACTGATGCTTTTGAACTGTGGTGCTGGAGAAGATTCTGGAGAGCCCCCAGGACAGCAAGGGGGTCAAATCAGTCAACCCTAATGGAAATCAACCCTGAATATTCATTGGAAGGACTGATGCTGAAGTTCCAATACTTTGGCCACCTGATGGGAAGAGCTGATTCACTGGAAAAGACCCTGATGCTGGGAAAGATTGAAGGCAGGAGAAGGGGGCAAGAGAGGACGAGATGGTTGGATATCATCATCAACTCAATGGACCATGAATTTGCACAAACTCTGGGAGACAGTGAAGGACGGGGGAGCCTGGCGTGCTGCAGTCCATGGGGTCACAGAGAGTCAGACACAACCTGGTGACTGAGCAATGACCACCACACAGGGCCTGGAGACCAGAGGCCCATGCCAGGTGGGAGTCAGAACTGAGAAGCCAAGACCCCTGAAGGAATGGAAGAAGTTCCCTCTGCCCTTCTAGGTTCTTCTGACTGGTCTGAGAATTAACCGGATGTGAGACAGATTAACAGAGACAATCCAACGAAGTTTAGTAACACACAGACCTAGGAGACCCACACAGACTGAATCACTTGTTCAAATGGCCAAGGAGGATGTTGAGGGTGGGGAGAGTCAGCTCAAGCGGTTACCAGGGAAGCCCAGTAAACAAGCTAAGGTTGTCATGCAGGTTGAAATCCTGCCTGCTTCACTGATAAGAGATTCTAGAGATTCCATCATCCTCCTCTTCCGGGTACAGTGATGGAGACGCCCTTACAAATGGAGCTGTACCTGATAAGTGTCAATGTTTCCTACAGAAGTTGAGCTCCTATGTGGTTTTTGGAATCTTTTCCATGTCTGCCGTTTCCTGAAAAGCCACCATTAGTATGCCAGAGAGACAGATCTGGGAACAGTCACTTCTCCCCTACAGCACCAAGAGCGGAGGATGACAAGGAAGCATGTCTGCCTGAGCCCTGGCCGAGGAAAGTGTGCCCTGACACTCTGTGAGCACAGCACTCCTCCAGTGCCAGGAAGTAAAAGCAACCCAGCTGGTCAGGGGGCCAGACACACCCCTGAGGAGCAGGGACAGCATGCAGTGAAGACCGCTCAGGATTCCCACAGCCAAAGGCCAGACAGGAGGCCACAGCTCCATCCTATGAGACAGTTAAGAAACTAACCACCGGGAGAGCTGGCATCTGTGACAAGCAGGACTTCACAGACAGCCATTATAAAGAGTGGTACTTGATCATTTTTCACAAAGACAAAACCAAAATGTGAGGAGGACTGCATTATCAAAAGGCCAAGAATTGAAGAGAATCATTCTGAATGTCTACAGTATATTTTTTTAAAAGTATTTAGCACAGAAAGTAATAAAAATGTAGTGGGGGTGGGGAACAATCCCTTCTTAGTTCACTGGCTGGGGCCCTGAAAACCAGACTGACGAGAGACAGATCAAGGAGGAAAAACCGGACAGGTGCATCTTGCACACACATAGCGGAGCTCAGCGGTGGTGATTCCAAGGGGACACTTAGAACTTGGGCTCCCAGAGCATCTGAACCTAAAAACAATGAGTACTGCAGGGAAGTGATAAGACAAGGGTCAGGGGCCTTGCACCTCTAGGAGTGGGAAACTGGGGGAAGGTAAATACACGGGGGACTAATGCATGGTGCCAGCTCTAAGTGGTGCCACCTCTGGGTGATTAAGAATCACCCCGCCCTTCCTGGTACAGAGGGGAAGGCAGAGAATTTTTCTTCGTGTCTGTCACTTTTCAACTGCCTTCAGCTCAAATAAGCATGTCAAAGTGGCATCTCTGGGGGAGGCACACCCTGACCCCCTTCAATGGCCAGTAGAAAGTTTAGAAAATACACAAAACTATCTTTGAAAAAGAAAAACATCCTGTCATCCAGAGATATTCGCTATTATTGGTATAACTTCCTGCTTGTATTTTAATCAATATATTCTTATACTTTAATCCATATATTCCTATATTTTAAATCTTTCTAAGATCATATATATGTAGGTTTTTCATTTAATTTTTCATGTATCATATCTACCTGTCTTCTTAAACAGAGAAGACTGAACATAATCATATGTTTCTGGATGATGTAAGGATCACCATCTCTATGGAAACCAGCTGTGTGACCAACCTTGGGCTGCTCCAGGTGGGATCACATGTCTGCTTGCTCCCCTCAGGCTGGATCCTCAGTCCACTCCTCCTTTTCTTTTTTAAAAAAATCATATTTATTTGGCTGCTCCAGGTCTTCTTGTGGCACATGAGAAGCTAGTTCCCTGGACCAGGGATCGACCCTGGGTGCCCTGTGTTGGGAGCATGGAGTCTTAGCCACTGGACTGCCAGGGAAGTCCCAATTCCCCCTTTTCCAATTATGTGCTTTTTAATAAGTGTTCTAAGCAATTAACTAGATAATTAAGCACATTTGAATTGTGACTAAAATAGGGTAAGTGGGATGAGGAGCAGGCCTCCCCAGAGGCTCAGGAGGTGAAACTGCTTTTGACCGAATTTCTGAGCCATGAGCATCACCCATTACAGGGCTGAGGTCGGTGCCTGAGGCTGGAGACTCCAGAACACCAGCCTGCCACATGACTTCTCTGAAGGAACCTTGCTTCCATGAATTATTACAGTTGGATGAAAATAGGGAAATTCTTTTCCAGATTAGAGGCAGGGGTGCTTTCAAACACATGTAGACATCTAATTCTGAGCTGTTGTTTTCAAAACGCAAAGTCAATTTCTCTAGAAGAAACCAT